GCCCCGAGTGCGAGAAGGTACGTATTGCGCGAACCTTGACCATCCTCCGCTGAGTATCGGTTTTGCAGGTTTCTATCACATTCGATCCATTCATGTATCTCACACTTCCTCTTCCCGTGAACAAAAAGTGGTGGCACGTGATCCATTATGTTCCGTGGGACCCGTCCCTTCCTCATCAGAAGGTAAGATTTCGGTTTCATCCTTCATTCGTTTCGCTAAATACAACGTACCAAAAGGTCCTTGTCGGGATAGGTCGCAACAGTGCATTCAAAGATCTGAAGCATCTGCTTGGTCGATGGATGGGAGTTCGGCCCAAAAGAGTCAGTACATCCTCGCACAGTATTGAGGTTCCCTGCTGATCACTTGAGCTCCAGTTGCTAACCCTCGAAGTGTTTAATCACCGTTTCTACAAGAATCTCGATGACAGCATCCTGTGCAGCGATATGGCCGATAACGACCAGATTTTCTGTTTCGAACTACCCTGTAATTCGCGCCAGAGTCGCTCATACAAGCCAAAGGACAATGATCCTTTCATCCTTCCTGTGATTTTGACGGATGTGGCCCCTCCTCGTCCCTCCTACTCCAATTATTCTCGTGGTACAAATAACTTTGGCTGTCCATTCATCGTAGTGGTCGAAAGAGACCAAGCAGGATCTGTGGATGCCATGTATGATGCTGTCATCGAACGCCTACGACGATGGACGGTCCACGAAAGGGACTTGTATACCTGGCAAGCCAATCCTTCTCCCAGTGATGCTGTCACGATCCCTATCTCAACAGTCTCGCCTATCAACTCTGTCGCAGAGATCAAAGAGAATGGGGATGTTAGTGAAGTTGACGGGATGGTCATTGAAGGCGACATCGCAGATCAGAAAATTTTCGGCGATGATGATTCTGGGATGGAACCTGACGCGTATATCGTTGGCACAAAACAAGGCGTCTTCAATTTACGCCTTTATACTGGCTACAAGGATTACACTGCAGGTGGCTATGGTTCCAACAACGGCCGATCCGAGCAGTGGGAAACCCGCATTGAAGACATTGAATTGGGAGCTCCATTACTGAAGGAGGGTGACGCTTTCCTTTGCGAGTTCGATGAGAACATGAAGTCGTACTACTTTGGCACTTCTCAGTTCGAGAACTCGCGGTGGGATGAGTGGGTGCTTTTCAAGCATCCTGAGTACTTGGCGGCCAAGGAGGTGGCTGCAGCACAGAAGGCGAAGGGGATAACACTTGATGATTGTTTGGCAGAGTTCACGAAGCAGGAGCAGTTGGGTGAAGATGACTTGTGGTACTGCCCGCGTTGCAAGAAACACCAGCAAGCTACGAAGAAGTTCGACCTTTGGAAGGTCCCGGACATTCTTGCTGTGCACCTCAAGCGTTTCAGTAACAACCGTACCCTTCGCGATAAGATCGATACTTTCGTCGACTTCCCTATTGAGGGTCTCGACCTTACTGCTCTCGTTGGTGAACGACAAGTGGGGACTAGGCTTGTGCAGAGTGGAGCCGACATCAACGAGCTTGGAATCAGAGATGTCGAGGAGCCTCTCATTTATGATCTCTATGCCGTCGATGAGCACCTGGGGGGACTTGGTGGTGGGCACTATCGCGCGTATGCCCTCAACCATGTGACGGAGCAGTGGTATCACTTCGATGATTCGTATGTTACGCGGTCTGATGCCAGTCACGCAGTGGTAAGTTTAATTTCTTTTTTTTTTGGCGCCAATTAATCATCTTCAAAGAATTCCAACGCCTATCTGTTGTTCTATAAACGTAGAAGCAACGCTCCGTTAGGGGGCAAGACTAACGAGAAGATAGAGGAAGCTGGTCGTAAAGCTGCCGCCGAAACGGAGGAAGAAACCGCTACAGAACCGGAGGTGCAGCTTCCGACACCTCCCAGTGAGAACGGCGCAACTCCCTTTCCCTTTCCCTCCACACAACAGCCTAGTAATGCTGGATACCTTACGCCGCGGTCCAATACAAGGTCGACTCCTACGTCATCGCCACCTCCCCTTGATGATGGTGATCCGACAACGTTGGAGACGCAGAGCGATGATCTGATTGCTGAGGATGGTCTTACTCTTTGTCCTCTCGAACTCGCGTCTCATCAATTTGATTTCCCCGACCCGTCAGCGAGGGCCTCTCCGACGTCCTCGGTCGAGGTGGAACCTGACTATGATGATAACCCCCCGCGCAGTTCGTTATTCCGTGCACACGCAAATATCGACTCTTGGGTTGGTAGTAGTCAGAATGGTTTACCCTCACCAGCAGTTTCTGATCCCGACATTAACCCATTTTCCGACATGAATTTGCAGAAGAGTGCTGATGATAGCATGGACATTTGACGGAATACCACGATTATAGAACTATGAGTTGTAATTTACCTGCATAATCCCGTATCTTAATTAGTTACTACTTAGAATGTTTCCTTTCGGATACTTTGCACAGTAGAGGCTTAGGGCGTGGGTGATACCTGCTTGACTTTCACAATAAGCAACCTTCCCTGTCCCACCATAACCAAGGTTCGCTACATGAGCAGGCTTCATCCAGCGTTGCTCTATCTGACAATATATAACCCGACTTTACGTCCCAGTGAAGAGGTATCTAAAGACGACGAGGATGCAGAAGAGCAAGCACAGATCCTTTTCTACACTTCACAGGAGCGCGCTACTTCGCGCGACAAGATGCTAAGGCAGGTCGGACTTGCCAAGGCGCTCGTCAATTTCTCTGAGTAGCAGTCCCAGGTTTTCCCCCTTGTGCAAGATACTCATCACTTAGCAGGATATTCCATCCGACCGACTCTTGCCACAATGTACATTCCCAGTCGAGAAGGATGATAATGCTCAATCCTGAACCTGACTTCTGGATTCACGCAGTACGCCGGCTCTCGATCTGTTGATGCGCTCTCATGCTAGTTTTTGCCAGGCGGTAGAGCTTGCAAAGACACCGCGGATGCTTCTGCCCAAACCCAAGGATAAGGGCAAGGGTAACGGAAAGGGAAAGGGAAAAGAGAAAGAGCAAGCAAGCGCTCTGCAACCCTCTTATGACTGTCACGACGGCTCACTTCACGATTACGCACTTCGCGCGTACTTGCTCCGGGGATACGAGCAATTCAAACTTACGCATGGGTCCTTCACCTTAATTTTGAATTCCCTCGGACAGGAAGCATTGGAGTTGCAGCTAGAAAGATTCTTCACTGTATGGGCATGGTCATGGGATTTGAGCAAGAGTCTTAAGTTGAACGACGACCTTGGTGCGTTGTATCTGGGCATCCCGTATCTACCGCCGACTTGCTGATTGGACTTAGGCTTGTCGCTTCATCCGTTATACCCCTCTATTCTACCTCTACTGGATACCTTTTCATCGCAGTTACCAGCTGGACTGGATGCATTGTTTCTTTCTCCTCCTCACGTAGTCCCGTCTACAAGATACAGACAATCTAATCATCCACCCGCACTCTCGCGACACCTTCTATCTCTAATTCCACGCCATCTACCACGCCATGAAGCAGATGATCGCCCAGAAGCCTCTTCACCCACTGAAAACGGAGCGATTGCAAACACGGTAGCTAAAGAAGTCAGTTCTAGCAGTAACTCCTCCGGTGGGTTCTTGGGCATGCCTTCTAGTCTCGCCATGAGTATGGGTGTTCGGAACTGGAGTTGGCCCGGGGCGTTGACGTTTGGGAAGGGCGCTGAACGAAAATCGCCGGTGACAGAACGAGAAGAAATTAAACCTAATCCCTCTGTGACCGAAAGTACAAGCACTGTGACGGAAGTTGACAGGGGCGCTTTGGAGGATGCGATGTCCTCCGCCGGTATACATGGCCTGCTGGGGAAGGCAAATGATGGATTATCTGTCACAGAACCTGATGCTGCGCATGAAGGGCGTCCGGAGGTGGACCACAGCGGCGACACTCCACGACCTTCCCGAGTCCCATCACCGCTTCCCGTAGATGGCTCATCTACGTCTCCTCTTGAGTCTGAGAAACCTGGTCGTTATCGTCAATTGGACTTCGCTTGTACTTTCGTGTTTCTACCTGAAAGCAGTGACCCGTTGGAAACTCGCCGAAGGCAAGTTATACATCTAAGAGTAAGCACGATCTCGTACTCATTCTCCCTTGCGTTTACATTACCTTGCTAGTGTCAAAGCTTGGCCGTGGCTATCATAGCGGATGCTGATAATGTAGAAGACTACGACACGCATGTTATATCTGAAGCTGCATCTCAAATGCTACATGACGTTGAGAACCTGATTCTTGCAGAAGCGAGGCGGTACGTATAAGTACTTAGAGGAGAAGAGCAAAACTCACATGGGTACGCGCAGGATTTCTGAGATCTTGCCTTCGGCGACAAAGATTTTGCAGCCCAAGGATAACTATCTAATTGGTTTTGACCACTTTACGACAGCCAGTCCTGACTTCATTGCGAAGTCGGATCACCTATACAACGGAAAGCAGCTATTGGAACAGTGCGTATTACGCCTTTTCTATTCCAGTATAATTTTGACGGCCTTGCAATAGGGAATTGCACATCACCGAAGTGTTTTCTCGAGGTCAACAACCACAGCACTGGCATGTTTCGAAAAGAGACAACACCTGCGGGGAAGAAAGGGAGGTTTTCCTTGAGGTTGCTCGGAAGGAGACGAGCTTATCTGACGTTGATAATATCCTTCAAAGGCTTCAGTTACACTCATTTTAGCTTGCATTAAGGATACTCTTAGACCCTCCCTCAGGCTTACAGACATTGTTTTGACTATCGTTTATCTGGTCGACGATTATTGATCAAGTTACGGATACCTATAGCCTAGCGATAGTTATTGTATAAAACCCATTAATCGCACCCATTCTCTGTCAACTTCCTCGCAACCAAGCTTGATCTGAATCATATTTCAGAACGCAGATCGATGCGCGCCCTTGGCTATTGGTTTTCCAAACATGTGACTGACGTGTTCATGCGGAGCGCTGACTTATGTAAATCAACCAATCTATATACGAGCTCGTCACGGAACTTCATCTCTTATTAAGTGTCCAATTTACGTGTATCAGCATTTAGCACTTGCCAAGATGATATTTAGTACCCCTACTGTCTTGAGCGGTACCGCCCTCGTCACCATCACTGGATACCTCGCCGCAATGGAAACACCTTCCTTATGATAGGCGGTCAACCCCCAACCTTCCCCTACAACTCCAAAATTTTCCCTCCCCTGCCTCGCCGCCACGTTCTTCAAGCGGGCCATCTTCGACACTACCCGTCAGACACTTTACGACGCGGACGACCGCCTTTCTGTTGGCGCTGCAGTTTCAAAGTTCTCCCCCGACGGTCTTCCTGGTTCTTGCCTCACAGAACCGCGAAGAAACTACTCAGAGACGATTTCACCCCCAAGGACAACCAACTCCCTCCCGCTGGTGACAACATGATTGATATCTACACGCCCGCTTCATCACGATTCCAGAGGTACTGTAAGCCTGGCGGGCTTACCACGTGACGGACGCGCTCGGCGTATTCGCTCCTGATCAAGTTAGACACCGCGCCTCATTTACTTAGTGTTTGGCCATTTGATGCTCATCCCTATATACATACAGCATCGTCGGTATCTACATCTTATCTTCTCACCGCCTTGTCAATCATACGCTCTTCCATGTTATCGTTCCGTCTGGTAGTATTGCCGTCGACGTGGCAGTCTTCCAGGTACAAGCGCTTCTCCATAGACTCGGGCGTGACCCTTGTGGCCGATGACGACTACATCAAGGACTTCGATGTCTCCGGAACCCCCGACTCATCCACCACAATACCAACAGTGCCTTTTTTCTTCAGCATCAATCCACCCTCATTCTATCGCCCTACCGCCCAAGCCTCTAGATACAGCGCGCATCGCCAACCGGCGTGACATGATCACCAAATTAAGTACGACGCTCATCTTAATTTGTTAGCATTGTGCTCGTTTGCGTGCCGGACGCGCATGGACTTACACTGGTGTGCAATTTCTCATGACATGCACATCGCTTACTGATTTCAAATATGCCATCTTGAGCAACTCCATGACGAGGCCAATGCCATGGCCAAGTTCGGCCTCATATCCACGTTGGCACTCCCCAACTAGAGCGGTACAAGCTAATCCATAACGCTACTCGCATCCCGAAAGACACGCACCGGCCTCTCGCTGTCCTCTATGACCTGGAGCCTTCCACAAGGTTGAAGGCTACCGCCTGCCCCCCACACTGTCTCCACGCGCCGGCTATTATTTCCGCAAGATTCGATGTCAGGGGTCCCCTACGACCGAATCCTGCAACAACCTATTGGCCTCTGTCCGCAAGACCTGAAGTTCCACCGCCCAAAAAGTTGAAGATCACTATTGGAACCCACCATTCGCAGTCCCGCACGTACCTCTAGTCTGAGTCTTCTGTTTCCCTCACTATTCAAAGGTCTCTTGATTTCTTTTTCCCTTTATCGGCATGTACTTGACAGACAATGGACTGCTTCATTCTTTTTTACTCGTGGACTCCTTATTTTTTCCTTTTTGTCGGTATGTGACAGGCGATGGACTGTGCATTTCTTTTGGTACTCATGTACTCGTCTCTTCCATTTGCATTACGGTTTGATTTATTATTGACAATGTTCCACATTTGTGTGCACGATGATCAGTTACATATCGACCGCCTGTAATTCCAAATCCAGTTTATACTCTTGTGTGTGTGCGCAAGTGAAACGTGATCAGCCTCTTGCTTCGAAGTACAATTTGAAAGTGAAGAATACACAGCTGGTGCTATTGTGCTGAGTGTTAGTCAACAATGTGTCGTTTGTCGGAAATTCCGTCACTTGGTTGCTGAACCGAGGGAGATTTCCGACATCCCGTCGATATACGATGCAGCTGACTGACCTTCGTTCGGCGCTTGTTTCAAAGCATTGCAGATGCGACCGCGAGTGTTGCATGTGCCTCTCGTTGTTGTGACCCAAGCTCAGGCGAGCAACACTCAGATACATAAGACCCAGGCAAAACAAGTAACTAGAATCTACCAATGCGCCAATGTCATTTCCGCAGTTCCAGAGACTTATGGTCATCGGTCAAGCAGAGATGACATCAGCACAGTCTCGGAACTATCCCATATTAGTGGGAGTCGGATTCATACATGTGTGTGTAGCCAGTGACTGTACAGGGGGTCTCCCGATCGTTCTTTCCATTTAGGTCACCGAGACATTCCTAGCACAAAACCCAAGCATTCGAATTGGAACGGCCTCACGCTGCGCACGGACGGTGCTGGTTGATCACGTCCTTCGCTAGTCTCGGATGTTTGAGTAACACATCCCTACAGTAGTCGAAGTTTAAGTCATCTCCTAATTCGTGGAATCGCTGTATCGTGTAGGAATTTCCGCTAAGAATGAGCAGCTAATTCATGCCATGTTCATTTATATTTTTTAGCGATACGTACTGTGGCCGTGCGGGATCCAGCAGGTCTGCTGTAAGGCTGTAAGCTCCGTCGTCTGTGAAGAAATATATCGCCGATGCAAAAGGAGCTCTGATCAAAGGGCAAGCCAAAGGCCGACAGTCCCGTTAAACACGGGTAAGCCCAAAAGAGTGGAAGGAATACGGTCGGGTGAAGGGCGATCGTGTCCAATTAGGGCACAAGGGGGGCTCAGCTAGATTCGATGCTGGGCTAGGGGTCGGGGTTAGTCGTAGTGATCGCTAAAGGTTGAGGCGTACTTGCTAAGACTTTATATATCATGCCTCAATCTTTCGATGAACTTGCACAGCGGGTGGAAATTCCACCCGGTGCATTTTTTTCCGGTTGGGAGAACTGGTCAATGAGCGACTAAATTTGTAGATGCGGTTCTTACCTGTGAAGCGCATGCAGAATCTTGACTAAATTCCTGAAGTTGTCAAGTTGACATTACAGTCACACCTACATTGGCATCGCACTCATTCCGCATACGCCTCTCCGAAAATATAGTGCGGCCATAAGGCACTGTAGGCAGCTCGTTTCCTATTGCAGGTTCAACGGTGTCGCCACTAAAGAGTGAGAACAGAAACGAAGTCATTCACAAGCGAGGTGTCATTTTCAACCCGACATCCGCGGATTACAAAGGGAAGACGGTCCATGCGAGTTCATAGTGTTCCCCCTTTCACTTGCTCTTGGTTTACTATGCTTGCTACTATCTAGAATACATTGGAACAAGTGATAGTGAAAACGATAAATCTAAGCAACTCCTCTGCGTGCTCACAGATAAAATTCTGGTTTTTTAGCATTAATGCCGTACTCGGCCAACGCGGCACTCAAGTCATCCATGGTCAGCGCGGTCCTTGTCTTATCCTAGGAGCAAGCCATTTTACGCAAGGCAAGGCGGTGAAAAACAATGACGTACCTTTGACCCTGGCCCAGTGAGGGGGCCTCGGGCACGACCACCAACGGCGTTCGTACGTATACGGGCATGCTGGTAGGCATCGGCAGCAATATCTGATACGAACTTCTGTGCAGCCAAGGAAAGCAGGCGTTTTCTGCATAGAATGAACGTAATGAGTCTATACCAGAAAACGTCTTTGGATGCTCACAGCCGCACGTCTTCGCATTCAAACCCTACCCTCTGGAGATAATAGTCTGTTACTTCATTGGGAATCTGGACAGCACTTTCAGCTCCACTTGGATTACGAAAGTTACACGCGTACCAAGGGTTCATAATCGTCAAGCATAACAAGGAATTCAGCTAGAGTGCGATCCTTGCGAGCCTCCTCGGCTGCCTGACGGGATTGTGGTTGACTTGTTGCAGTTGTAGAGGAGCTTGAGCCTGCAGCAGTAGTAGCGGTTTGGGAAGACTGCGGCTGAGATACATCAAGAAATGTTCCTGGCGGGTAGTATGTATAAGGAGAAGGCTGGGACTGTGCCGTTGGCGAGTCTGCAAATGCTCCTGGCGTCGACATGATCTAGAAGATGTTACAGTGAGCGCCGGAAGAAGCCCGTCGGAGTTAGTCAAGCGAAATGGCGGCAGTATAAAATATTCCCACATGCAATTTTTATTTTGTTTTCATCCTCGACCTGCGTCAAACTCGGAGATGGTGAGTATTTCCTATCGATCTATCGATTTGCTTGAACCGTTGGGTTCAGTGCTAGTGTTGTATATGATGTTTGAGGCATTTGGCTTTAGCAGGAGCGCACCCTGCGGTGCAGAAATTTATCTCAGCTACCTTCGGGGGAGCTGCTTTGGCAGTATCCTCCCGCTTTGACTGATTCGATTCTTTTTCTACGTCTTATCGACGATCACTTACAATTGTCTTCTATAGACAGATGTGGCTACTCCCCTCCACTTTAGCACGGAAGGCACTCCCATGTACTACGTTTAGGTTGATGCAACGTGTTTAAATATACCTCTTGATGGACATGAAGTTTTACGCGATCTGATGCTGGCCTGAGAGATTGGCGAGAATGTCTGCCACGACGTAATCATAGTATAGTGCCGATAGGCATTGAGTTGTATTGTCAGGGTCAGTACTTGAAAAGACCGTTTTAAAATTACATGTGGTGCACGAGAGCGAACGTAAGATTATGGCCTGCAATCGCCTCGAGTTCTCTCGAGTTTAGCCAACTACGGGTACCTCTGAAGGACTTCACAAGTTTTCAACCTGAAAAAGTCGATTTAGTTGCTCGAAGGCGACTGGCGAATGTTGAGCGAGTCTAAGGAGTACGTTAGTGTCCGTAAGGGTGAACTTGACGGGCGTTTACAAGGCATTTATATAACAACAATATAGCCAGCCCGTCAGTCTAATGTAGGCTGACACCGGCAGCCTATCGTCGGAGCAGCATAAGACTGTCGATCGTCCGAGTCCTCCATTTTAAATCCGCGTTTTTGTAAACTGAGACGTGATCTTGTCTTGGCTCCACTACCGCGGTAACTCTCCCTACTGTCTTGATCACCACTTTGGCTCATGGCGTCCGGAAAATAGGTAGTGAAACTCCGGGCTACTCTAGGTCTTTGGTGCGTCTTGCCAGGAAGAGGAAAGGGGACTTCGTCACTAAAACCAGGTAATCACGGCCAAAATTTCAACTTGAATGCCTACCGCATCATACCTACCTTCACGACATTTGAATCACGCCATATATGTCCCACTATGGCCATGAATATTGACGCCGAGAACAGCATACGCGTTAGGAGCTTCACTCCTAGTATGGATAATGTAGGGGGTGTCAGGAAGTCCGGATTGTCATGCGCGGAATGTCGCCGGTATGTCATATCTGCCACTCACTTGAGACCACTAGTCCTACTTGACCTTGAATCCGTCTAGATCCAAGCTCAAGTGCGACAGGTAAGCCCAAAAAGCAAGTCTATCTGCACTTCGATAGCTGACTTCTGCAGGGTGTTCCCGTGCCAGTCATGTATACGACGTGGATGTGCGAATATCTGTCCAGAGGGTAAGAACTTCACTCTTATAATCTTCATTCGCTCATCCGCGACGCTCTAGGGACTCTCGCCGCCACGAAAGGAAACAAGTAGGTCTTTCTCGGCTGCTTTCCTCCAGCTCCGACTCCGAGTCGGAATCTAACTTTAACTTTATGGAAGAGTTCTGATGGCTCATGCTCAGCGGCTGTCAGAACAGGTAAAAAATATGACTGGGAGAATCAAAGAGCTTGAAGAGGCACTTCATCAATCTCAGAAATCCAATCGTGGTGGAACCGAGCCACATCCTCCTACTTCCCAGTCACACGAACATGCTGAACTCCCCGAGCTTCGGACTATCTACGATGATCAAGTTCTCGATGTATCAGAGAGCATCGGATCCTTATCGATTGATGTCAATGGCCGCACCAAATATCACGGCGAATCCGTCGGGTCAGAGGTGAGGCAACCTATTATGGTCGTTTTTGTACTAAGCCCCTGACTATATGCACCATGCAGTACTTTCAACCATTGTTTCCGGTTCGTTGCACTTCATTTTCGGAAAATAACATCGCTCATGTAAATCACACGACAGTCTGATGGTTATCCACCACAGCAGAGCGTCTCGACTGACCCCAAATACTTGGGACTTCCATTTGAAATTATCGACCTCTGCAATGCATACCCCTTCGGTCTGAGGGACAGTCAATATACGAAATTTCTCTTCTTACCCTTTCTCCCTCCCCATGAACGAGCCCTGCAGCTTATGGAGTTATATTATCGAAATGTTGCATGGATGTGAGCTCACTGTGCGTGCTGCAGGCGATGTTTATTAACCCACGTAAACTCAGGTTCGACCCAATCGTACGAGATGATTTTATGACAAATATTCTAACCCCGTTGTATGGCCACACTGGTTCCCCTAACGTCAACAACATCCACTCACACCGACTTTCCGTGTTTTTCATCGTGCTAGCCTCAGGAGTCCTTTACGAACAATCACCATCTTCAGGGGTGCTTGCCGAACAGTACCATGCACTTTCCCGCGCAGCGCTATCCCTCGATCCGATCTACCAAGATGCTACCTGTGCTACCGTACAGGCCCTCTTTATGACCTTCGGACATATCTACCAGTCTGATCGTACGAATAACGAAGGTAGGTGGCTTCTAATGGGCGTGGTGGCGAGAGTTGCACAATTAGTGAGCATAGTGCTGCTGTTTCAAAGAACCAAAGAACTCACAATTACACGCTATGTCACAGATCGGTCTACGTAAGTGCATCCCCACCAGATCGATGGAGCGCACTGATGGATGAATCACAGAACGCGATAACGCTGGGTGGGGTCTAGGGCAGGAAGAAATACAAAGACGACGCGTTTTATTTTGGGAAATCTACTCGGTCGACGCGTGGACAGTGCGTTCTTTGATGTTTGATGTCTCTGTTGGCTGAACTGTTCAAAGAGCATCCTCAATGGTCGCCCACCTGCATTGAGCATCAACCATACAGACTGCTGGTTTCCAGAAGACCTCGATCCCACGATCAAACCTTCAGGTGCGGTTGAAATGGGATGTAAGTTTCATCTGACTATTTTCTGTGCGAAGCGTCTCATGCCCATCCCTTTACGTATTTTAGGGCACGCCTGGAAGTTCCGTTACTCGGCAAGCTGCTTAGGGATTTCTGTGCAACATGTCTTCAGCACACGTGTTCCAAGCTATTCCGCATTGCTCGAGTTGGACCGAAAAATACGGAAATTCAACCTGCCGTCGCATTTACAATCACCATTAGAAGCCTCAGAAGCGGGGCGTTCTTGGTCTCCAGAAGCCCCTAAGGCAATGCAGCAATATGCTGCACTGTGTCAAAGGGAAGCAAGTAAGTTGGCATCATTGTGCCTTGGATCAGTAATAGACTAATGACCGACAGATCTGATGTACATCCATCGGAGCTGGTTCGTACAGGCTATTCGAGAGACTCCTGCCAACCCCCTTCAGCACAAATATGCACCCTCGGTCTTAGCTGTATATCGCAGTGCATGTCGGTTAATCTCCAGCCTTAATGGATTGTACCGAGTACATTCACAACCGACGGATCAAACGTGGTTTTTCTGGTCGGCTATCTTCTCTGCATGCGTAAGTCTATGCAGTTCATTTTGACAACGTATCTCATGTGGCGAGCAGATCGTTCTCGGAGCTATAGTGGTGGATAGTCCACAATGTACTCTCGCGTCGAACGCATTGCAGGAACTGGAAAAGGGGATGGTGCTTTACGAAGAGGGATCGCTTCCTTGTCGGCCTCCAGCAACTGTGGTAGTACAGTCCAAGCCTTACGATTGCATACTTTCTGACGCGTTCCTAGCCTGTCCTCCACAAACTCCGTGAGCGCGCCTTCACCTCCCTCCAGGCCGCGCAGAGAGATACCAGACAGTCACAATCTCGTCGGTCATCCATAAACTCTGGTGATCCAGACGTACTCGGACTTCGGGAGAGCGGCATCACCGGCACGTCATGGCGATTCAGTTCGCCGGCTTCAAGTGCAAGCGCATCCGGTTCAGACCGACGATCATCAGAACCGTCAGATGCTGATACATCCATGTATTACGCAACACTGGCAAATCCCAATCTCGTATTGCCAGCCACCAGGGAATTCGAGCCGTATCACGCTGCAACTTCGCAGGAGGATATCAACACGCCTTCACCGTTCTTTGACCCTGCGCTGCAAGCCGCGATCATGATGCCAAGTATGCAGTCCAATCAGTGTATTGCGGGTCCCAGTTCGAATATCCCTCCGCCACAACCACTACCATTATCGTATCAGCAAGTGACACCCCAGAATTTCTACGTCAACGAAGCTTATCATAATAACAACCAGGAGGAAGTTTGGCGAAAATATATTAGCAGCCTGGGAGTCATGAAACCCTAGTACACGATGTCCGTCACGACTTACATTCCAGACCATACATAACCATCCATCATATTTTCGTTACCTGTCGCACTGTCTTTCCACATTCTTGTCGCGCGCACACGTTTTTGCTGTCGTTATCTTCTGCACTTTTTTTCTTCTACAGTACTTGATTTTTACAAGCTAGTTCATCTTGATTAAATTCGTGTCATCGATTGGCATGGCATTGGCTTCGGCTTGATCGCCCAACTCCATCGCGTGAAGGAGTGTATCTATGTCTGGTGAGACGACAAACCGCTTGTTGACTTCTCCCATGACGTGCAACCGTTTGTTTTGCAGATCCAGGTGGACAGCTTGCTGCAAAAACGATGGTTGAGTTGCGCCAGTTACCTAGATATAACAGTCAGTACGACTGATGGGAGCAAAAATATAGGAATTAGACGAACATCCATAAGGATGCCATTACTCAGGCGCATTTTGACGGCCCCGCTGCGATACACTTCGAGCTGCCCGATGACACCGTCAATTGTTGGTAGTTCTTTCGTTTGTTCTGTCTCTAGTCCTGTGGATACACCTGCTGGATCTCCGCTAGGACCTGGTGGCTTTACGTCTGCTGCGAAAGACACTTTACGTGGACGGCTATCTGACGGGGGCTCATCAACATTCATTGTCGTCGGACTGGTCGACGGGATATTGGGAACAAATGTTGGGAACGGCTCAGGGAACTGGAAGAAGTAGAGACGCTCTTGCCGTACGTCTGCGTCCTATAATGAGAGTGAGCGCGAGTACCCAATGGAGATTTGGGATAATGACCTGTTCCGCTTCGCCTTGCAGCGCGAAATCATCTATGAGGTCCTCGAGTTCTTCCTCTTCCTCGCTCTCGCTAAGGTCAAGGGCATTGGCCAAATCCACTTCCTCGATGTCCATAGCCTCTTCTAAGATTATCTGAGCTTCAGGTGGCAGAAAAATATTAGGCAAGGTCTACCTTTTTTCTTTATACCTGAAGGTGACGATGGATCCTCGATCTTCACCTGAATAACCTTTTTCTTCTTCTTTTCTTTACGTTCTTTGCGCAAGCTTTCTGGAGCCATCCAGTCCATCTGTCTCACGTTCTCCATGTCGATAATCTCGACACCTTCGTCTGGATCAGAGTAGTAATCGTCATCAACCTCGCTTTTGATCTCCTTTTGGACGAGGACGTTCGATGCTAGAGTCTCCCTCTTCAATGAAGGACCGGCAGCCCCAGAGAGACCAGCACCAAGAGCAGCTGCATTTCCAGGTCCCAATGGAACGATAGGTGTGAAATTGGAGCGAGGAGCGCTGCGCCGTGCTGAGGTACCTGCAAGAGCAGGTCCCATAGCGAATGGTCCACTGGCAGTCATTTCTACTGGAGGTGGGCGGGGAGCGGCACCACGACCTTCTCCTCCCCTGCCCCTTCCCCGCCCACGTCCGCGCCCTCGATCGGTAGATGCACTAGGGATGGTTGGTGGAGGGGCTTCCTGCGTCCAGTTCAAGATGGTAATGATTCGCGTATACGTACTCTACGACACATACCTGTTTAACTTCCCTGGTAATAACGCCATGAGCGACTGTGGATTTGGACTTGGCAGGGTTGGCTCACTCTTTCTTTCTTCGTGATGGTAGTGTGGGCACGAACTTTAACCTCTGTGATCCTTGTCTGGTCACATCGGAAGGCTTTTTGGCCAAACTGCCTATAGCTTTTGGTACGGACGGTCCAGGAGTGCCTGATGGCGTCGAGGACGTGCCCGTGTTGCTCGTAGATCCACCGTCTGCCATAAAACCAGATAAATATCGTGAAAAAGTCACGCTTAACCCGTTATGTACACAGGTGTGCACAGCCACATGTTTATCTGCATTTCGGACTCCTTTGATCAAACGATCTGCACCACATTCAGGCGCTCAGCTGCAGCTACGCCCAGTTCGCGATTTCTTATACAATGGGAGAACCGGAACATGTCAGGTCGACTTACAATGACATACACAACATTATCAGAGGAGCCTCGGACAAGATTGCGTCTGAATTCAAGCCAGACATGTTTATCGCGATCGGTACGCTAAACTCGTCACTTTCATTATATTTCTGATGCTCATATTATCCACGAAAAGGAGGAGGGTCAGTTCTGTCCCATCTATTCAGTATTTATCTCACCTGGACTCAACTCTCATTCGACAGTGGTTTTTTCCCAGCTCGTGTACTGGTATGTCGCGCAGAAGCGATACGGCCCGACCGACCTTCTAATCCGCCTCACGTCCGGTCTCATAGCGCACATTCCTGAAAGACCCGTCGACAAAAAGGAACATCCCCATTCAAGCCATTGGTCTCTCACTCTACGAATCTCTCCCTGGTACAACTGCAGAGCAGCTCGGCGGTGAGGTTATTCGCACCCAGTGGCTGTACGGCATTATCAATTCTACCCATGATCTAATATTGACACGGACAATCTCGGCAGAGGACCAGACCCGGGTAAAAGGTTGCTCGGGAGACGAGTATTGATTATTGTAAGCCCTAACTCCTCGGTTTTGATTATATGAATCCAACCGATAATCTGATTAGGACGAAGTCGATGATTCGCGCAAAACCCTCCAGTAAGAGCTCGACAAAAATAGATCTTGTACCTGACACATACTCGTCCTATCCGCTGTGCAGATACGCATTGAATGAGCTCCAGAAAGATGTTGAAACAGAACTTCAGCTACTTCCAGAGTCTGAGCGTGACTCGAAACGCACCAAGTTTGCGGTCTTCGTGGTGCACAACAAGCTCAAGCTGAAACTCGGAAAGCTGCCACCGAATATCCCGTGAGTATTAAGACGAGTGTCCATTTCACATGTTTTCATACATTTTCCACCAGATACTTCATAGGTGCTGAAGTGGAGGACGTGTGGTAAGATTTAGTCCTTTGACTTCTGACGAGTCTAACCGATATATAGGCTTGATTATCCGTGGGAGGCTATGTAAGTGTCCTTTCCTAATCTTCATTGGTGATGAATGATTCAGCGTACTTTTTCAACCTCAGTGATATCGAAGAACATGACCGTCTGGCAAAGGAGGACAAGGAGAAGGAGAAGGCTACATGACAGTCGATGAGCACTAACGTTAGAGACAAGAAGATGTGTATGCCGATCCCATTCTTATAAAGTATTTGCTTCTGGGCTACGTCCGTTTCGCGATCGATTTTACTTGTGCTTGGCTACTCGTGGAGGGGACTCTCGATCCGTGTTATTGTGACATCTATCCATGATTTTTGACGTGTATATGGACTAGAAATAGAACTAAATTTCAGTCCGAGAATTGGTATTAGCAAACACTGCCATTAATTGATGAATCAAGATACTAGCTAGCCAGGCGATGGGAAAGAGGCCTACAAGGAACAAACTGCGAATTAACTTACCTAGGTTAGAAAAAGGCCAACCTCTATCCTGCCTGGAGTCGCCCGCTATGTAAGCCTTACTCCACTATGGGAGGACAGCCTGAAATTTTTTTGATATTATTCCAAAGGACATGTGAAAAGTGCCTCGCGACTGCCCTGCACTGAACATTGCGTTTGCTGTCGTGCAGCGGTCTTAGTATTGGTAGCGAGAACAAAAGGAAATGTTTGCTTTATTGAAACAAATAGAAGCCCCGTTAGCGGCCCCAACCTGTGCAAGAGGGAACCGAGGTGAGCTGCAATTCCCATGGTAGTGGGAGTGAGAGTGACGCAGAACCTCATGCCAAATTGTAAGAGCCGCAGAGCAACGCTTCGAAGCGAGGAAAGTGGTATTGGAAAGACGAGGTAGAGCTTGAAGGTATCCGCGTGAACGATGTTGCGGGCATCTACGTGGGTAATCATAGTGCAGGCATCCACACGAGTAAAAGTGCGGGGATTCACGTGAGTAAAAGTGCAGACATCTGCGTGACCAAAGGTGCAGGTAAGAGTAATGAGAGAGATAAAGTTTGAAAAAACCAATATGCAGGGCGGCCTACTCCACATCGAGGTGAGTGAGCAGATAGTTCCCTCCCCTTATCAGGCTCCCTGCTTAGGTAGGCGACAAACCGGACGAGAGTTTGTAAAGGCAAACTTCCTGCAGGAGTAAACATGAGAGGGCGACGCAGAAGCGTTTTCGGATGCCCTCTACTCATGGCCGGCTTCCCCGCCGGACTTGTCTTCATCGCATACAGATGCGTGCTAGGATCTAGCCCACCGGGTTACCGAGTCGCTGAAGATAGCCTAGAATTCTATAGAGATCAGGCAAATAATTTTTTGGGAATTATCTAGGGTCGCGGAAATTTCAGAGACAAGAAAATCGGAAAAGCAGAAAGCAGCATGCAGGTTTGAGCCTGGCATTGGCACCATGTGGTGCAGAGACGAGAGGGGTCCACGTGCTACATTGCCGTTGCAGTTAGTTATCATTCTGGCCGAGTGGAGTCAGACTAGTTTGCAACGTCGACGCTAGGTATCATGCGGCCGGTTATTAGCCTAGTGTAAATAAAATTAGACCCGAATAATTTACTGTTCACAGTGGCTGACGAGTCGCGTTTTTTTCTGCGAGATTATACTTCCGACCAAGACTCACAAGGTTGACTTCTTCCAAGTCCTGCTAACAGTCCCCGCACTATAGACGCTGGTTCACTCAGTCTCTGTGCGGCAAGGTGGTCATCCTTCGAAGTTTTTGTCGTGCACCGTTACTACTCCTTTAGTACCGCGAAAAAACAGCCTTTAGTCTTGCATTTCCACCGTCCTTCCTTTCTTCTACATAGACTACTTGGATGGCTGAAGAGGTCGACTATGAGGCACTCCCATCCGACGCAAGCCTTGGGGTGAGTCATTTAGCTGGTCTATTAGTAAAATTTGCATCAACTAGAACTATAGGTTAACATGCTGGCCGGAGCTCTGGTGAGTTCAGTTTTGGTCCCTACTTCACGCATCTCGCACTGGCGTTCGCGATGGATTCGCGCACCGGGATGTCCCAAGCACGCATACTGAACTTTTCGCTCAGGCTGGTATCACAGAGCACGCAGTCATGTTCCCAATAGACAGCATAAAAGTGGGATCCAAGCTTTGTTCAACTACATGAGGCTGATAGGGCATTTAGACACGAATGCAAGTATTCGCGACCTCACCAGCCGCTGTTTACACAGGGATCGGAAATGCATTCACTCGGATATCATCTACAGAAGGCATGCGAGCTCTATGGCGAGGAGTCTCCTCAGTGGCATTGGGTGCGGGACCAGCACATGCAGTTCACTTTGGGACGTATGAGGCGATGAAGGAATTAGCAGGCGGAAATGCTGCTGGAAATCAATGGCTTGCAACATGTACGTTCGCCATTCATGTTCGTTCCCTGTCGACCATCACCCCTTCCATATTGTTTTATCTCCCGCGTCTGAATTTCAATTTCCTGGCTGTATGCCACGTAGTCAGCATGTACTCACCATCGCGTTCTCACAGCACTGGCAGGTGCATCCGCCACCATTGCTAGCGATGCCCTCATGAATCCGTTCGATGGTGAGCTCCCAGCTACTCGTGCCGCGTTCACCAACCCATTGCGCATTTTATAGTCATCAAGCAACGCATGCAGGTGCACCAGTCGGAGTTCCGCTCCGTGTTTACTGCATTGCAGGTCGTGTACCGGAAAGAGGGTCTTGCCGCGTTCTATGTCTCGTATCCCACAACCCTGATGATGTCAGTCCCGTTCACGGCCGTCCAATTCACAGTCTATGAACACATAAAAAAGTTCCTAAATCCATCGTGCTCCTACTCGCCCGTTACGCATATGATCGCAGGTGGTGTGGCAGGCGGCGTGGCGGCAGGTGTCACCACTCCTTTGGATGTTGCGAAAACTCTCTTGCAGACCAGAGGCTCATCGCACGATCCCGAGATTCGAAGAGTCGGCGGAATGTTGGATGCATTTCGTATAATATGGAGGAGAGATGGAATAAGAGGGTTTGGACGGGGAATGTCGCCACGAGTTTTGACGCATATGCCCAGTAACGCGTTATGTTGGCTATCTTATGAGTTTTTCAGTAAGTCTCTTCTCTCTTGGTTCGGTTGGACACCCACTCATATTATTGACAGAGGTTGCTATTCGCGATCAATGATACAATCGCGTCCTACATAGACAGCAAGGCATGGACCATACTTGCATGATGCTACTTTGGTGTTATTTCATCACTATCGCATTTATCTCCGCTACATTACTATCAGGGTATTTCAGTCAGCTGCTATATAACACTGACGGTCTTTTGAGATCCACATGCTCCTGCAGAGACATGTCAGATCCGGAAGTTCAGCACAAGACCAGTGAGATTAGAGTCCGGTTTGCCTCAGAACCTGAGTGTATGTGACACTATCAGCTACGATGATTAAGCGCATTCATGTCAAAGTCATGCGACTGCAGACCTGCAGACTGTGAGTATAACAAGTTGCTACTGTGGCTTGGCTCTCATGACACCATGCGACTTATTGTTGATATCCACGTCGAAGACATCAGAAGGCTCGGAAAAATCTTCTGGAATCATTGCCCCTTTACCCACCCAACTCCCCCTATTGGGACTTCGGACTCAATGGTGGGAGTAGAAGTTGGTGAGTTGGCGGAATGTTCATCTCGCACATGTGGACTAGCTAACATCCCGGAAGTTGAGAAAGCCAATGGACCATTTGAATGACATGCAGAGGGTGTTTAGCTTGAGATGATCGAGAAAACGTGGGGTATACGTATCATACAGTACTACATAGCGACGGTTGGGTATAGTTCTTCCTCCATTTCTTCTACATATGCACGACACAAGATGTCTATAACTGGCGACCTAGAAATCGTGACCGGAGGTCAATTTCGCAAGACGACTGGCTCTGCGTAATGTGTGACGGTTGCCCCCATGCAGAAAGGCACAGTATAACTGGAAGGACAATGTCCTTCCCTTGTTATACTTCTCTCCCTCAACATACCCCACATGACCCACCAGTCTTCGGCTGCGTCCCGCGCATTATAGCCGAAGACCTCGCAAATCTCATCCCACTGCCAGCGCATCTTGGTCTCGTCCCAGCCCTTGTGCCCTTCCATCATCATGCCATAGAGGGCCTGATCTCGCGCATTACGTTGTGGCCCAGGAGCTACCCATACCGTTTCAAAAGCCTTCGTTTCCTTTGCATATATGGCGCGCGTACGTGGCTCGCGCAGCTCCTGAAATGCTTCAGCCAAGTGAGGTAATTGATCCCAGGCTCGTAATCGAGAAAAGAGGGTGCCGAGTACTTCAGCGTCTTCTATTTGCATACTACAACCTTGTAGAACGCAAGGCTGCGGATAATTATTACCACTGATCGGAATTCTGAACTCATATGGACTTACATATAACGGATGTGCGGCTTCTCCCATGAGGAGCAATCTTCCTGATTCGTCCGTCCATTCTTCGGCACATTCCCTTTGGAAAAGTCGCACCCTCTGATACGTAGCAGGTATATCCAGCAGGCGCTGCAATCTGATCAAATCATGATGATGTGAGCTCAATGATGCGGATGCCGGATCAAATTAGCGCACTTCGGTTCAAAATGAAAAGGGAGCCGTTCCCGAGGGACAATCACGTCCCAACCATCTTGATCACCAATGCCATCAACTTCGCTGTCAGGCAAGAATGCATGGATCGCGAATTCAGTCCCTCCTGCCTGTGAAGGCTGAGTTACAAAAAAAAAAAACCACAAAGGGAAAATCATACCACTGTGAAGGCTATGACATGTCTAGAGTCTCCAGTCCATATCGGGTACTGAAATGTGTACCATGTGAACTCCCATTGGAAGGCAAGGGCGGGCAACGTACGTCAGGTCTATCTTCATGAAATCGCGTCAGGTCGCTGAGCTCAGGGTCATTTTGAAGGATATCCCGAGGTACAATGGCACTGGAGTCCAGGTTTCCCTGTCAGTGGCGACGTGTGACAATAAGAAAGGCAGATTACACGTAAGCACTGTGCCCTTCTGGCACCTCTTCGCCTGGCCACCCTACAACCGCCTCGCGGACTGTACTCCGTGGACCATCAGCCCCGATGACCATATCTGCTTTGAGGACGGTGCCATCCTGAAGCTCGACGCGGGGCGGGTTCGCGTGCACTTTGGTGACTGTTGCACCGTATGTAATACGGGCACCTGCGTTGACCGCTGCACGATACAGCATATCGTAGAGGTCGCGGTACTGCAATGGGCATCCAGAAAGAAGCGGAATGAACACCTTCCAGGATGCTTGGGCAGGTATAAACTTACACGTATAACCAAATAGTCCGCTCCTGTCTCCTGAAGAACGTCTTCCTTCCATTCGAGGCATCCTATGACTTTTCCAGTGTCGACTGCCAGGTTCCGTTTATGAGCTGGAGTGTAACGTCAATTGCGTGCTACGAGTTCCTTACTTGAAATGAATGTGCTAGCACGTGTTCTTAGTCCGTGTTTCAGTAGTTCGTCCTTGAATCCCCAGTCCACCAAAACTTTGGTAGCGTTGGGCGGGAGGTGTGTACCACCAGCGCGCTACGATGTTTAGTTCAGCGTGTGCCTTCGCTTTCGCACACATGACCCACCCGGTTTGGCCCTGAGGCTTTGTCTAAAACACGGACACGATGCCCTGCTTGGCATAATCTAAACGCGCTAGCGAGGCCAGCAACACCTAACGAGGGCAATTGAACACAATGGCAACCTGCAAGTTGTTCACGTACCAGCTCCAACTATTATGAAGTCAATGCCGAGCGGGGCTCTCCGTTTTGACGATGACATGGAAGTATGCCACGGAACTAATAGTGCAGACTGTAAAGAGGGATAAAGAATGAGAGCAAAAAGGTAGAGGCTGATAGAAATGTTAAGTTGCAAGGAAGAATGGATATTAATCGCTTTTCTTCCATGCGCCAATAATATTCTTATGACATTCGGCTAAGCTTCTCTTCCCATATGAGAGAACACAGTGGTGTTAAGCGAGAACCGCCCGTATCAGGGCATCCGGGCTAATCCAGGAGACCCGGACTCGGCAGGAACATGGCAACATTATGGTTTTCCAACACTTTTGAAACCCAACACTGATCTGTGCAAATGTCTGTGAATTTCCATGCTACGAACCAAAGGACTTACATCGGAATCAAATCAATGGCTCGGAAATCAATCTCAGTCTGGATTGATTAGGACACATTGGGAGGTGCTGTCAATTAATTATGAGTCAGCGGGCGTGACAACCCCAGCGCAACGTTGTGAGCGGCAACGAGCAGAGGCTAATGATGGAAGCCGGCGGGAGCACGGGACACGAGGGGGCGCGGTGACTACAGAGCATGTGGTACTTACGAGTTATAGAGTGCGGGGGAAAGGTGAGGTACGTGTTGTAATTACTTACGCACCGGTAAAGTCTAACTCCGGCAACCCAAAAACAGTCAAAATCGCTTGAACCAGCGTCAAGTTATGGTTGATGCGATAAGGTTATTCTGCAGTGGAAACTCAGGGTTTGTGGTCGAGAAACCATCCCTTACGCGGGGAAATAAGCTACACAGTACTACACAGTCGCCACATTTTTCCGCTTCGAAGTCGGTAGAGAGGTCGCCGATCTATCTCTCGTCATACTAGGCTTGTTAAACACGAGTGTTTATTGTTCGTCTAAATTTAAGCACCCCAGGTTGCTCAAGCATGAGCGACAAGATATCGCCAGGGTACATCGCCCTGGGGACATGCAAAACAACTATCTCCTCTCAATCCCAAAGAGGCCAGATGGGATTGAGAACGCACGTCTGCTGGTTCTGGTCTCAAGTTTGTCGCCATAACATGACGTGGCCGCCCACCCTAAAAGTGCCATCAAAAGTGTGCCACAATGGTAAGTACGATAATCTAGAAGAATGTCATGACGACATCATAACAGTTTTGCCCACGGCCGGAAGCCGTCGAGGGCTAGATAACGACGCGCTCCTGCAGCGTAGGAGCTTGCAGGCCAAATAGCACATCCCTAGATATGATTTGGTAGTAGATAGAATCAGCATTATGAGAGACCGCGGGTGAAATGGAACATACATCATGGACGAGTTTTACTCCTTGCAGCGGGCTTTCAGGCCTCAGGGACCAAGGGGACTAGTCTAGACATGTCCCATCAATTCTATTGAGCTTCCGCGTTTCAATCGTGGTTTCGGGGGTGTGGTGAAGATAGGCAAGTGTCAAAGGAGTTACCCAAAACGGTACGGAGAATTTTGTTCTTTCACCCACACTTGTGACGTGAACCCTAAGAAGACACGTCTCAGTCAATACTTAAGAGGATAAAGTCCAAATGTGCTTCTATGATTGTAACATCGCAAGACCTTTACATAAACGCTGCAGCTTCTGTGGGCGATCCATCAGAGCCCACGAACCTCGCCAGGTAGCCCTAACAGGCTTGGCTGTGAGAAACTGAGCTACTGTGAGCCTGATATGCAACGTATACACCGCCGGGCCGCATGTAGTGCAATCAGGTGCAACAAACGTCGATCCCCCGACCATATCTGAATCAGACCACCTGTGAATAAGTTCAAGATTTATGAGATTGTAGTAAGACAATATAAACAGTCAGCCAAGATGCAAGCTCGCCTTGTCACCGACAAATTTCCCTGTCCAATGGCGTGACGGAGAAGGTTTGCAGGGCACTGCATGCTGGTTGGTTTGAGTTTGAGAATTTAAACTCAGTCAGACTAGTGTCGGTGTCTGGCGCGGCCGAGCGCCATTACGAAACCGAGGTAGATTAATATTGGCATTTCTTGTACTCGACTTTCAAGCTCTCTCCAGATGTGAAGTGCCAGGAGGTTTGTCGATGACGAGGTAATCAAGATCACCCCAGTCAACATCTTTAAGGAACTGCGTGATGAGCCCATTCTTCTTCGGACCAAGCCACATGACGGCGCCTCGCGATGAGGGCAGCATGAAGCGGACCGACATGACTCCAAGATTATCCTGTACATAGACTGGAGACCAAGATGAGTGCACTTGCTCTGAGGTAACGCCGAAGATAGTAGGTAAAGATGGTCAGATATCGGCATACATGACACCGGTTTGTAGCTGTTCGTCTGCAGCAAATGCCTAACCAAGCTGGGCAGTGAAGGTAGAGCGAGGATTTTGTGCTTCACAGTGGTCATCCGATCACGAATAAAGGGAAGCGCTAGGTCAGGACCCTTGGGTGGGTTAGAAGCGCAGATCTTTTGATTTGCGCATCCTTTTGCAAGCATCGGCTTTGCCAGCTAACTCAGATTCTGTGCCCTGTCATCCAGTGCAATTAGTGATGAGTTACGAACGTAGTAAACTTGGTTGGGGTTTACAGGGCAGTGTTCCGGTGCATTTGAAGGAACAGACAGAGGGTCTGAAACTACAGCTGACTGTTGTACTTATCAGTTACTGCAAGGGCCATAAGCCTCTTAGTATCGTTCAGTACTTGAAAGAAAGTGGCATCGACGGTGCTGCGCTCGTGACTACGCCGCAGGAGGTTTCTTTACAGGATGTTTGGAGAGAAACCAGAAGGTGGGAATGCGAGTGCTGGGCCTTTTGGAGAACATGTCAGGTTGTTTGTCCTGGATGCAAGATGGAGAGTCAAATATTCAGGCCAACTATTGGGGATGCGGAAAGACTAGCAAAAGAAACTGGAATTCAACTGCTGCGTAAGGTCCCACTTGACCCACGAATTGGGAAGAGCGCATATTATGGTGTTAGTTTTTTGGACGAATACCCGACAGCCCCGCATTGGGTGCATACCTTGATGTCGTTGACAGTGAATGCTGTCCATCCCTTAGGTATTTTTCTCACAAATTTTCAGAGATCGAGAAGATATTGGGAGGCGAGAGTGCCCTGTAATTTTAGCTATTTCGACTCGCAGCAACCTCGTTGAAATTTGCAATTCATGTGTATCGATAGATTCTACATTGGAAACTGTGATGATTCTATGCAAGACAAAATTGTATAACTAACTCCTTCCCCCTTCCTTCCTGGTGCGAACACTGAACTCCATCGGCATCTCACTGGGTGGGGCATCTGTTTCGGATTCTTGCCCGACAATGAATTTGCCGATAGGCGCCACACCGGCCAACCCCCCCAGCAGACTCTCGTGGATTGATACCGTCGACAAAGTCCGCAACAATTTCTGCACTGCTATTTCACCCCCTGCTGCTGTTGCAGTCGAGGCCGCACGGGAACGAGCAGGTAGAATGTATCCTTCGTTAGGAAACACGATACCACTAGCACTGGTTGGCAGGCCATCAAACATAGGTACGAATGGGTGTTGCGTGGTTGACGCTGGTGGTGAGTTATACGTAGATGTGGACGGCTGGCGTTGTGGTTGAAGTATGCTGGAGCGCCGTGCATAGTTGACGACGGGGTCTTCAGGTATGCACGGACGGAAGTAGTCCAAGGCAGCTGGCAGGGCAAGACTATCCGAGACTACATTCTCCTTTATAACTTCGGGGCTGTCCATTCTCCGCGATTCAGAAACGCTCGCCCGGGACTCCAAAGACCGTTCAGGGGAACCAGGTGTCCTCTCCGCGAGCATTTTCATGGGGGCCAGGCGCTGCCGGCTCACGTGTGATACCTCGCACTTCCATCCTGTAATCCTCTATTTCCTCCCATAGTGCCTTCCTGAAATCTTCAAGAGTCTCGAGCTTCTCGATGTCTCTCCACTTTTCAAAAGCGGTAGGACAATCGGGCTCATCGGTTTCTTCATGGTAGGATGCCAGCCAGGGATGTGCGAGCGCGTCAGGAACTGAGATGCGCGCCGAAGGGTCGAAAGACAGCATTTTCTGCAAGAGATCCAGGGCTAGTGATCGGATAGTCATCAGTATTGACCTAGTGCCATGGAACAGCTGGAGTCACCCTGCACATCAGCAGTCGGAAGCAACTTCCGCAGTGGTACGGCCTTCTTAACTGGAAGTGAGCGGATATAAAGCTGTGCCTTCCCATGATGTCAGGACTGGACTCTAAAAGCTATGGTGTCTATCTCTACCTTATCGCTCCCAATTCGATTGATCACGTCCTCTTCTGGGGTTCCTTTACAAATACTGATCAGAGTGCGAACGAAGGGGGTTCGCCAAAAACTCACCAAGAACATCAAGAATCTTGTTTAGTTGATCAACTGTCGAGGATAAATGTAAGTATGATCAAATGTCCATCCCAATTTGATGTTCGCGATATACTAACCATAGCTGTACACATGGCTGTGAGCTTGCCAGAGTTGATACATATCTGAACTTACTCTTTACCCTTGAACAGGGGGCGTCCAAGCATAAGCTCTGCAAATATACAGCCTATCGACCAAACATCGACTGTATCCATGGTTCACATTTACAAGAAGGATTGATTGATAGGACGAGCTCACTGGCTCTCGTGTATCCTCTAATAGCAGCTTGCGTAAAGAGAGACATTATGGCAGTGGTAGAATAGTCGCACCTGAAGGCCAGCATGATTTCTGGCGCCCTGTACCACCTGGTGGCTACATATTCCGTGAGATGGCCTACTTGCTCGTCTGGGGCAGAGCCAAATCCCCGACTCAAGCCAAAATCGCATATCTTCAGTTCACAATCAGAATTAACGAGTAAGTTGCCTGGCTTCAGATCTCGGTGGATGACGGCGGCCGAGTGGACGTATTTCATGCCTGTTTGTCAACATATTGATAGTGCTCATGTAATACAGCAGAACGAATTACCACGAAGAATCTGGTATAGGAAGTACTGCACATGTTCGTTGCTTAAATGCTGGCCGGACTTTATGATTTGGTGCAAATCCGCTGCCAAAGGTTCAGCGCAAGGTTCAAGTCGTAGTCTGAACGTTACCTTCCATGGGCTAGATAGAAACCATTATAGCAGTAGTTGAACTCCTCGATGGCGGGTTAACGCACCTCCATAAAGATGTAACTAGAATAGGATAAGCCTCTTACAAGTACTGAATGGCAGCTACTCACATCTCCTGAAAATCGGGGGAGATGGCATCCACATCAATCAATCCAGTAATGTTCTCATGGCTTGAGAAATGCCGAAGGAGAGTAACCTCTCTCAGTGCCCGTTTCGCAAGCTGGACTTTGTCAAATATTCGAGTGACGAGTTTAATAGCCACCGTTTCACCAGAGATCTCGTCTACTGCAGATCTATCTCGGGCACATCAATACGGTCAACTACAAAAGCTCCGAACCTGTTGCTCACACGACGACGCCATATGCACCCGAACCCATTTCTCGTACCAGCTTCCAGCGCTTCTCCACGTGAAACATCTTGCCAAAGGAAGTCATAAAAGAGTGATACCCTCTAGCGCACCTCGTCAATGAAGCCGGTAATGGCGAGGGTAAGATGGATCTCACCGTTTTCTCATGTGGTGTTCTGGAAGCTGATTAGAAGGCCGCCGTGTTCTTGATCGACCACGATCTTGAGTGCCAGAACCTGGCGATGGTATCGGAGAGGATGACTCGTCATCGCTATGTGACCTGCTCCGCCTGGCATCTGCTGACATTGTAGGAACTAGAGCAGGCCGTGGTGCTTAACAAGGTCAAGATTGGATGCCTGAGCGCAAAGAAGGGAACTCGTAGACGTGGCAATCTTTCCCCACTAGTACTATTGCAGAAGATGGTCTGAAACTGCAGTAGAATTGCCCGACACTGGGTGCTGAAATAATGTTGTGTTTGAATTTGAGGATTTAGCCGTCCTCACCACATTGTTCGACACGATGCATAACAACGATAACCTCTGGGAGAACGGGTCGTAATTATTCCGTCTTCCGAATATACACGGTGATAAGCACTTTACGTCCGACGCGTAACAATTACACCAATGAAATAGTGGAATACTTAAAGAATATTCAAACGCTCAATATTCTATGCAGGAACCGAGGCCATGACCACATCCGGAGTCGCTGGCGCAACAGGAGACACATCATCGTCCTCACCAAATATATCCAAGAAACCAGCCACTCGTGCCTTGTTTCCAGCCCTTTTGGTGACATACTCTCGCAGGCCAGACTTTAGACTCGGTTGCTTGTCAACAAGTTCGCGAAGCTGCTCCTTTGGCAGTTGCAACAATGCGCCAAAGCTCGCCGGCGCAATAACCTTGGCACATCGTATAAACCCTTCCCACAGGTGAGGATTTTGCCAAATTTTTTTGGTGATCAGGCGAGACAGCAAGGTGGTAGACACGAAGCCAACCAATGTTCTATACGTCGTGACGGCCTGGATGACCTATTTGGCCGTTTGTTACCCTAAATAACTGTAAACATAAATAGCGAGATTCACTAACCGTACGAAGGAAAAGAACGGGGAGCACAGGTTCATCCACGATCTGTTGCATAACCACCGCTAGAATTTCGGAGCGGAAGACATCAGTCATTGAGAAGCAGACACCAATTGCTGCACCGTAATAGGTTAGTAGGCGGCCGGCGAGGAGAACGTTACTGTCACCTTCGATCGCACTCTTGAGACCGATCTCTTTCTCAGCTTCATGGAGTAACACCATCAACTCAGCCGGCGTCAGCAGCTCACTTTGCCTGACACGAGGCAAATTTGATGACACACTCCCAAAAGTTTGCGGAGGCGTCGTGACAACGGAGCTAAATACAGACCGAACCAGATTTTTGGGCTCTTGCTGACCATTCAGGATGGAGACGATTCGAGGCAGGTATTTCAGGATGTCCGGCTTTGAATAACTATATTTAGCAAAGCGACAGTCGACTTCCGCGGGGACATACCTTGTCCATCTCTGCAATGATTGGAATCAGGAAGCGAGCATCGAGATCACGGTCACTAATGAGGCCCTTCACCAACGCTACGAGTTGCGCGCTCGGCCTCCCATGCTCTGTAAAGATCGTCAGAACACGTAGGGCAAGAGATTCGCTCCCCGGCGGGCATGTGCGCATGAGGGTTAACAATTTGCCATTGCTTGAACCTAAAGATTTGATCAGAGCAGTGATCAAGTCTTGAATGGCTTCTTGAACTGTTAACTCCATTTGGCCATACGCCGTGAAGATCCTGAAAAGGCATGAAACAAGAACCACGATTATAAATCAGGATCGGCGCACTCATCCAAGAACTCCGGGATCTTGACAGATAGAGCGAATAGGAGTTCAACGTGTTGCAGTACGTGAGCCTTGCGGGCAGGTAACTCTATCTCTTCTGGTAGATACGGCGTCTGCAGAAGGTCTTCGGCAGGGAGTTGACCATCTTCCATATTCTCGTCGCTTGCGCTGACTTGTTCATCAATGATCTTTGGCGCCTCCTCTTTCGGTGGACGCTTTTGCAAACGGCGCAGTATTTGGAGAGCGAAATCACGTATCATACTATGCATGGGTTCAATGCCAGGAACCCATCTTCGCACGGTATTAATTGCTGCGCGCCTGGTCACAGGATCTGCAAGAGATTGACATCAGGATTTAACACAAGAAAATTGACATACCTGGATGAGTGGTTAACTCCAAAAGGACTTGGAGGGCTTCTGCTCGGAGGGATGGACGTTCTAAAACAAACTCCCGAAGACTGGTGAACCCAACATGCATCCTGTTGATTGCTCGAACCGAGTTATGTCAAAAGAATACCCGAATAGACGCACTTGTCAGGGTCAACGGAGAGATCGCGTAGCAGATCGAGGACATCAGGGGGCACGGAGGGTAAATCCAGTAGAAACCGTGCAAAAGCTTTGTCCTTGCCATCAGGCTTACCCTCAGGCTTGCCTTCTAAAACGGTCTGATACGTGGAAACTACTTGATTGAGCCACGATTCATAGTTTGGTCGCTGGAAAGCTCATCGTTGACCAAATCTTACGAGAAAGAGTAGAGACAAAGTACGCACCCAATGAGGGTCATCTGCCATTCTGATACGATCGTTGTACCATTCTTCATTCATCCATGTTGTGACAAGATGAAGCCTTCATCGTTGTCAGTAAATAAATTTGTAATGACACAATATCGAGAACATACCGTGAAGGGAAATCAGCCATAATGTAATCGCATAACGCTTGTCGTAAAATATCTTGCCGCGAATAGAAGTCAACTTTTGTCACTGCGTCCCCTCCATCCTCTGGCGCTGGTAGCTGATCACCATCAAGATGCGCTACCCGTGTGACCATCCGAACAATAAGTAACATCCACATATCGGTAGGAGAGGCACCGGGCCATTGCGATGGTACGATAGAATCAACCTTCAGCTCCTCCGCTCCGTCCCATATTCGGCCAACCGATCCACGCATCAAAGCATTTCGTTCAAAGTCAGTCAATTCTTTTGGTCCGAGTAGTGTAGAATCGATCAGATCAAGGGTGAGCGCTTCCGGGAAATCCGCCGGAATTGTCTCTTCCTCCGTGATAGTCTCGTCCCCCGAAAGCTACAGCGTAAAATTAATTGCAATAAGCACGCGTCACCTGTAGGTAGGTAAATGCTCTAACCTTCATGTTGAGCCTATCAGGCTCATATTCCATTTCCTCTTCGTCAATGTCCATTTGAAGTGGATCTACTGGCTCATCTTTCACAGCAGTTTCCGCAGAAGGCCCAGGGGTGGGCGTCGCTTCCGGTGTAGGCTGGGCGGGTTGCGGAGTTCTAGAGACAGGAGGGCCAGGAGCCAGGCCTCTGCTTTGTCTGTATGTTTGTACCAACTCCAGTAGGGCTGGCTCTGTAAATGCTTGCAAATTGGCGACAATGAGATCGGTTATGAGTGATATTGGAAGCGTAGTGAAGTCAAAGCTAGCTAAGAATGCAGCAGACGCGTTTCCGGCAATGTCAACGTCGATTTTCATCCGTTTGGCATCAGATGGATGCTCTGCTGGTGTGGAAGAAGGTCGTTTCTTGGTAGCTTCCGTTGCAGACACAGCAACGGCGGCCTTCCGTGCCTTTTCCTCTGCAGAGGCTCTTTCCATGCGAGCAGCCTGTATGGAGAGCGCCTCGTTGATCTGAGCTCCAAAGGAAGAACCATGGGGTCCTCTATGCTCGACTTCAGAACACCTAACTCGACACCGCCATGACGTCACTCACCTCGAGATATGGATGAGCAATATACGAACAGCCTTTTCAACGCTTTTGATAGACGATGCTGGGAGCCCGGACAGAGCTGTAGGAGTCCAAGAAGAGAGTGACGAAACGACTAGTTGCACCAGGGCAGGCCTTTGTCTGACTAAATTGCTCCAGGAGTGAAGTATCGCGCTCAAAAGCTCGGGGTTCCTTTATGACAGACGTCAGATACGCGAGTACTTACAGATATTGGATGAAGATGCTCACTGGCTGGTATACAACATAGTGATCACGCTCTCAAGAAGTTTCATGCCTTCCGCTTCTAAGGCAGGACCTGGAAGGAAGGGGTGATCGACAGGGACATTTGAAATGTTGGGGTCATTCTTGTTCTGAAGCTATAGATTATAGAGCGTGCGTCACAGTGAGTGTGCGTATGAAAGAGAGACTGGTGGAAGGGTACCCTAGGGTCCGAAATACCGCGCGTCTGGACGATAATGACACGCTGCATGAACTTAATGGCAGAGACCTTCACACCGGTACTGGCGGTCGGCGACCAAATAAACTCTAGGATGCGCGCTTTGCACTGTGACAGCACATCCCATTGCTGGCGTAGAGTACGGTTTGTACACCTGTCACACGAGGTGATATCAGACTCTGTTGACTCCGGTAGTAGATGACTTACAAAGAACGGAAAAGGAGTGGGTAGACAGTCGACAAGCACTGAATGGACACCTTGATAGTACGTGCATTTGAATCATGCAGTAAAACAGCCAGCGTATCAACCGACTGAGACGCAACTAAGAAGTAATAACATTAAAAGACTTAGACGCTGGCAGTACTCAAAGATTGAACTAACGTTGTGTGCGAACTTCGTTGGACAGATTAGAGTGAGAGATAGCAAAATGGAGGAGATCAAGCACCCATCTCTTGAGGAGAGAATCACCGGCACTTGACACGGTTTTGATGAGCGTTGTACAGAGGATGGGTATGGGATTCGGGTGCGTTTCAAGGGATTCACGTAAAGTAGCAAGTATATCTGCTTGTTCTTTAGAGTCTGCCGGTACTGCTAACGCTGCAGAAAGTGTCTGCAGCGGGTCAACCGGATTTCCTGCCATCCTTGCAAGCTTTGGTGTTTGCAACGTTAAAGCTTGTCTGCAGCTCTTCCTGAAAACTATATCCTGTCGGAGTTCTAAATCACTCCTCTACAGCAATCATGGTATGGCGACGAACAAGCATGTGACAGTAGAGACTCACAAATGATTATAGGCAGCTCAAAATTCGCAAGGAATACAGACGCTTCTTGAAGCAGAGAAAGAAGCTGCTAAGATTGTGCAGCAGTCACGTCAATGTCGGTGTCAGTCTGAATTGATTTCATGTGACTGACTGTTTTTAACCAGACCGCCTTCAGAGGTTGAAGGACGCACGCTCGGAAGCAAGTAGAGAAATAGATGAGTACAGACAGGCCAAAGAAGCCGAATTCAAATCATTTGAGGCATCGGTGTGACATCTGCTCTCTCTTCACTGACGTACAACCTGACATAGCGAGTAGCACGCAGGAGTCACCTCCAATGCACAGGTTGCAGTAGACAAGGAAACCAGTAAAAAGTTGCAGGCCATCACAGATGCTTATGAAGCAAACAAAGATGCGGTTGTGAAGAAACTACTGGACCGCGTTCTATTGATCAAGCCCGAGCTACATCGGAATCTCAAGAGGGCAGGTGGTGCAGAATCACAATGATCAACTTCATTGCTATGGACTTGACTTGTACAATACTACATTGGGTGCTTCAGCAATAATACCCTCAATCTGATAATTAAAGGTTCGTACGAATTATCAAATAAATATCAAGGAACGACAAGATTGCAAGGTGCAGAACAAGATACATAGCATGGAGCGACGACGAATGGAACCAAGCACTCAAGAACTTGGGCAGCACAGTGATGTTAGCTTGACCTAGAGACTGTTGACTCACTAGCCAACCACGGTAAGCCGACAGGCATGCTAGTTGAAGCCGTGGCAACTGCAGGACGAGTAGAGTAATCTACGTGTGGAGTTGAAGGAAATGGTGATCCAGTTTCGTCTCGTGAGCCCTGGCATGGGGCTGGAAGATGTCCGGATGCTTGCCAACTTGCTGAAGAAGGTGATGAATTGCCTTCATTGGCTCGTTGCCAATCTAAAAGACCGCTCGACTTCAGTGAGGGTAACGATAGCGCTGGGGATACGGCAGCAACTGGCTCCGTATTCGTATGTCTAGGATTTGGCGGCATTTGTAAGGCAGGATCGATATTGACATCATGCGCAATGTTTCTCTTCTCTCTGGGATCAGATTGTGGTGGAAGAGGCGGATGTACATGGGCTCGAACATCACCAAAAGGAAGCTGACCGAAGAATCGGGCATCAGGAGGTGGGCGCACCGGCGGTGGGTATACCGGAGATGTGGTTATTTGGGGTGCCGCGGCCTCCGGTGAGTGACTAGGAACGGGTGTAGAGCCATGAGATCCGCCGGAGCTGGACGCTACTGGATGCACGCGACCTTCCGCGGGAGGTGGAGGTCGTACGTCGTTGGTGTAGTCAGGTGCCGGTGGAGCTAAGTCTGGGATGCGAACACCAAACATCGCTTCAACCTGACTAGACCATGAATAAAGTTGTGGAGTTCTCTCCTTGCAATATTTGAACAAAGGCTATGAGATCGATCAGCGTGAGACGACTGAGGAGATTCAGACACCATACCCAAATTGCAACTGCCACTATAGACATGCGTCGTTAGTGAAACGCCTAACGAAACATAATTATGTTACAACACTCACGGAGGATACTTTTTTTCGCTCTGTCACCTAAAGCAGCGAGAATCTTGTACAAGCGCTCGCGCGCCCACGTTGGACCTCCGGGCATAGCCGTACGGCAACGCTTCCTAGCCTACAGAAAGTATCGCCATATCCGTCATCTTGTCAGCGTCTGAACACTTCAAATCAAATCAAGATAACCCACGTGATTCAATGCATAAACACACGAGCAGTGGATAATGTGCATTACACAGAAGCACCACGCTCCCATGTTGGAATTCGTGGCAAACAACGACATTTGAGTAGCAAGATTCTCGTCGGTGAAACAAAGGCTGTCAGGAAGCGATCCGTCCCACGCCTTCGGAAGCGATCAATATGCTAGATCTGTATGAACCCTGAAATTTCATCCTTACGTTGAGTTTATTGTCAAGATCCAACAATGTGTTGACGGGATGTTTGCCAGACTCGCGGTCTAAAAATGAAGTTGAATGAGCATATGCGGGCTCCCGCGAAGCGACTAGCGCTCACTCTCGAATTCATCCATGGTCTTTTCTATCTTCCCGTGTATAGAGAGGACACGAGTTAGCTGCCCAGTCTCGGATCTCGATAAAGGACTGGGTTTGTCCAGATATTCTTGACGAATCAAATGAGCTCAAGGCTGAAATAATGGCTCGGCGACTAACCTGGGATAGCGTCGTGTACAGTGAACAAGAAGGTCGTCTCATCCACAGGGAGACGCAATTTCAACTGCGAGTCCTCTGCTAACATGGGCCGTTGGTAGAGAACAGACCCCAGAACATCGGTCATATGTATGAGCCAGAAAATACGACGCGCGCATTCTCGCTCGATGGACGCATCGATGAACTCCAGCGAAGGAGCAGGTGTCAGGATCGGATTATCAGCCTGATACACGCCCAGCTGTTCGATGATCTCAAATGCGTATACTGCAAAGTACACAGCGTAAGCGTCGACAACCCTGGAAATGGCAATTTTCCGTACTATGATATTGCCCTCTCCAACATGACTTAGCCATTCGATCATGCAACTGCAGCAGACAGAGAGCCTGCGCAGTTGCAAGATTCTTCTCGCAAATCAGGTTTTGGTCTTTATCGAACATAAGCGACACTGCCTCTTGAAAGAACACCTCTCCAGCAAATCTTGAACCCCCTTCCTTAAAACAATGACGCTGCGAGAGAGGTGCGGCAAGAGCACATATTGAAAGGAGAAGGTAAGAAGGGACGAGACCATGAGATAGAGCATGATGGAATGAAGGCTCGTGGATGACCATACGCTGAGGTTGCCGGTGTGCGAAGAATACTGCTCCGGTGTATCCATTAGTGTCAGCAGTATGCCGCTATATGGTGTAACTTACGGTGCACGAGCTCTCTTGTGAGTGACGGGTCACGTTCCAAAGAGCGCTCAGTGCTTGGCAACGGCGGCGGAGCTAAACCTCTCAAAGACGTCTCAATAGGAGACGTCGACTGGTCGAGGTCTGGCCTGAACCGCTTGCGCGACGGAATATCTTCATCAGGGTCGACTTGGGTCCCAAGTACCTCGTCTTTCTGCAGTGTATGGACGGTGAAGGATGGTTGGTTGCCCTGGGTACCGTCTGGGTATGTTGCGCACGAGCCCTGACGCGGATCGACTGCTGCGTCTGTGTTATCCCCTTTGCGCGGCCTAGGTGCAGGTACGGGTCTGCCCGAAGCGTCTGTGTACGTGCATTTCTTGGAGGCGAAGTAACTAAACAAACATGACGAATTTGGAAACATCTGAACGTTTTTTTGGGTGACGTACCAGTTGCTGCAAGGAGCTGAAAACAGGGAGGTCAGAATTGGCATAGCATGGAGGCTGTTATGGAAGATAACGTACCTGTACCGTCACAGCGTCGTTTGCTTTTGTGGCAAGCATCGCACGCCTGCATAGTAAGATGCTTGGTACGCGTCCTGAACGAGTCTAAGGGTGCATACCTTTGCTAGGCGTTTCCGCTTTGGACCCTTCATGAACGCAATATTAGCGTCCATCCTGTCAGAATCCTGGGAAGTGTCGACGAGGAAACGGGAGCCATCTGGAGGGGGTTGGTTTGGGGGAGCAAAAGTGATTGCCTGCATCGCTGGCTGCTGAAGAGAGCGAGCGAAGTGGTCCATTAAAAGGCAAATAATATGGGACTGATTATGCCAGACGACGAGGAGACATGCACAAAAGCTGGAAAGAGAGGAGGAAAGAGAATCCGAGGTCTGGTACTAGAGAAAGGATATGAGTTTGACTTCGTTGAACTTATTAAGGAGAGATACATGTCCCAGCAGATTGAAATGACAATTTTGAAAAGAATATTTAAAAGATAACTCACCTAGCAAGCTATAGCTAGATAATGGTTAGTGTGAAGGGACTGTAAAGCGTGGAACGCACCAGTACTTAGTAGATAGTTCGCACTCACAAACCAAATAGCACTCACGGCAATTCGAGGAAGCCCTTGCAATAACCGATCAGTCAATACAAATGAAGCCAACCCGCCGGCCGCAACCGGCTTTTCCCACTTCTTCGCGCCGGCGGCTTTGTTATTATTACCGATCCTGCGGTAAAGTATACTAATAGTATTGATCAAAGACGTGTTAGCTCTTCCCTAGTATGCCCAGTTACATTACATTTCATGAATCAGATTCATAACACGGTCACGAAGAACCAGCTAAAGGCCCCCCACCAATGGCATAACAGATAAGCGAAACGGCAGGTTTCGGCGGCTTTCCATTCTGTACAGCTTTTTACGTACACACCGTGCCTCATTTTCATGCCGCCGGTCATTACCTAAAAACAGAATTTCAATATATTTTACGATAAACATTCCGAACTCCAATTCCGGCGGCCATTTACACCGCACGCTTGGGACGACCTATTATTGTGCAAGATCGCAATATATTCTAATTCGAACGTTCCAAGGAAAATTCATCATTATTACGGTGTATCTGCTCGTGTTTTCGTACAAGAACAATATTTCGTAACGTAATTAGTCGAAAAGACCGAAGCCCATGTCGTCGTCGGATTCCTCCTACGATCTCAAGGTTTAATTCTAGTTCCAAGATATGCACAACAAAAGGACTGACCTTCTCCTCCTTCTTTTCTTCCTTCTTCTCCTCCTCAACGGCGGCGGCAGGTGCTGCTCCGCCGGCTGACGGAGCAGCAGCGGCAACCGCGCCACCAGATGGAACCTAAGCATTGCGACCAATCAGCTCCTGCGACTTGTATATAACTTGATCGAAACTTACGGACGACAGCTTAGCAGAACCCTCAGCAATCAACTACGGAGAAACATGTCAGAAACGGGTGCAGTGAAGTACAATCGGGAAAAAAAATCTTACAGCATTGATGTCCTTGTCCTCGAGTTCAGAGACAAGTTTTTCGAGCCTGTCGTCATCGGCTTCTATCCCGACAGCACTCAACACCTTCTTCACGTCATCAGCCGAGGGAGAGGCATTGCCACCAATTTGGAGGAGAAGATAAGCAGCGATATGACGCATCTGGTAAAATTACAGAAGTTAGTGTGTGTGTCAGATGCGAAGATATTCGAGACACACTTTAGACGAGTGTTATTCACAAAGATATGTGGGGTGCGGGCAGCTACAAATCACTAAAAAAGATACAATTAACATTCCATTCAAGTCCGGTGCATAAACACGAATCATACCTTTAATCCTCAAGGGAAGACCTGTAGATTCTATCCGACGACGTTGATGATGTTGTTCCCCTCTAAGCATCTGCCAAACTTCGGGATTGGTACTATACAGTACCACGTGGTAAAATTCAGCCGCAATTTCTATATTTGATTGTTTTCCGACTCCGCCTCAGGATTGCCGAAATCCTTGCTCGCTGTTATCCACGACAACCGCAAGACTAATTCACGACGCAATATGGTGCGCCTTGACCTTTGGGAGTAGCCAGACAAACTAAGCGCTGATTTCTGCCCGAATAACAGGCGGATTCATCGGTTACTGACCCCTCGGTCGCTGCTGAGCTCAAGAAGAAGAGAACCTTCCGCACGTTCT